AAATACTAAATTTTAGTGTGTCTTATTGTTCATAGTAATTTATTAATATTCGCATAAAAAGCAAAATTTAAATTAAAAAAAAAGAAGTTTGATACTTCTTAAGTCAACATTGAAGTATTTTTTCTCATTTAAAATTGTTACCATACTTATCAGACGCGGTAAAAATATTGAAGTAAAGATTAGACATAATGTTATTTTCATTTCTGATGCACAGTAGAGAGCGAAATTACTTACTTTTAATCCAAGCGGCAACAAAGAATGTTTAAACAGTGGCATCTGCTCTCACAACCATTATTTTCATCCCGACAAAGATACCCGTCGGTACCGTCCGAGATTCAAAGAAAAACCTTTGTTACAGATAATTAACTATGGCGACGAAGAAATAATACCTTTCAGAGCGACCGTACTTCGAATACTAATAATCAAATTAACTTGTTCGTAAAAATGTCAAATATAACATAAAGATAGGGTATTTCTAAAAACAATAGTTTCTCATACACTTCAGGTATATTTTGTAGTTATTTAAATTGAATAGTTTTTCCCCGCTAAAAAAGGAAAGAGTAATCTCAGATATATAATTAGCCATAAGTTTATTTTTGTATTTTATTCAATTTTGTAATTGTTTATATTTTTGTTGTAATTGTTATTGATAAGCGCTAAATAAATATTTTTCTTTATTTCCTTCAAATAAAATAACAAAAATAGTATTAGTAGAAGATCTTAATAGAACATATAGAATTAAAGTTTGTTTAAATTATATAGAGCAGATAATACAATACAAATTCATCATTCTTGGTATTAAAAAAATTGTTATTTCCTGCAGTCCGTTTTGGTTTTAATTCCGATTTTCTTTTATTTGTTGCGTTGTTTTTTAGTATTACTATATATTATATTGTATTTATGATATATTCTAGTAACTCGAACCTAATCATTTTCATTGTAAGATCCTGGCTGGTGGCAACGTGATACGAGTAGGCCGGGTCACACTGACTCATTCGTGAACGAGTGCTGCTGGTTTGCTCATGTTTGCTTATTTATTTTCTATTTAGTAATATATGTATTACTAAATAGAAAATAAATAAGCATAAATAGAAATAAGCAAATAAATAGAACTTAATGCTAATTATAGTTACAGTACCCATGCAAATGTAAAATTATCTTGTACATAATAATTTGCAATGAGTAACTGTTGAGTTTCTTGCGGGTGTTTCTCAGCAGATAATAACGTTTGAAACGTTATTATCTGCTGCCAGCAATGGAAGCATAAAAAAGACGATTTATAGGTAGATGTAAATAAGTCAATTAAAAAAAAGTTTATTTCTATTCTAATCTATACTATACTGTTTGTCTTAATAAAAACCGAATCAGTTTTAAAACATTATCATCAAACGGATTGTAATGATTAATTAATTAAATAGATAAAGACGTAGACAATTATTTAATTAATTAATTCACTAACTGCCAATTTAATTACTCTGGCTCTAGCGTCTGGGCACACAAACAAAAATTATACCATCTTGTAACTAGGCCAAACTGTTATTATGTAACAATCTATGTTACAGGCTAACAATCTATACTTATTATATATGGATATATAACTAATAATAAGTAAATCACAATTAATTGAAAATCAAAATTTAGAAAGTTCAAATAAAATGTTATTTTTATAGTAAAGTTAAATTAACTGATTTAACAAATTTACTGTGAAAGGTAGATTTCGTTCACACCGTTTTGCCTTCAGTGTAGACAAAGGACACAAAATACCATTTTCCTCTATATTTACATATTCACGTTTCGTTGTTATTTATTTTATTCAATGAAACAATTTGCATCGCTCTACGTTCGTGAAGTGCATTTATCGTCACTACATCTATCGGACTGTAATATATTTAATATTAGTTGTTTCCTGCTATTTTGCCCGCGGATATAAGTATATAAAGTATCCTATATGTTAAATTAGGATATAACCTCCCCGTATACCAAATTTCATTCAATTCTGTTCAGCTTTTTAAGCATGATTGAGTAATAAAGATTACAAATATTTACTTCTATAATACTAGTTAATTTCCACGGCATTTCTTTCATGAAATATTACATAAAATATCCTATATTTTAACTTAGGATGTTGCGTTATTGGGTAAGAAACATTCAAACAACTTGTTAAATTCACATTTATAATATTAGTAAGATAATACTAAGGATTGACTAAGGTCGTATATTACTGTCTAATTATTATTTAAAAAAAATTGTGATTCTACGTCTATCAAATAGCGCTATGCATTTATCGCTAAAACATCAATCGGACTGCAATATATTAAATATTTACATCGTTCCGTACATTCTTGTCTTGGCAAACATAAAAAGCGGCCACGACCTAGATAAACTCGATCTATTTTATCAGTAATGTGACACTTGACAACTACACGACTCGTGCCCAACCGTATCAGGGCAGAACCAGCCACGAATAGATACCAGATAAACTACTCCTGGCTGGCACACAATACCTTTTGTAATGTCTCTCAATAGGCTTCCACAGTCCGTACCGTGATACGTTCTAGGTAAACGTATGTGGTGATACTGGTTTTATGCAGTCAGCAATGCTTTGTGTCATTGTGGACTACGGATCTATTCTTGGAGTTTATGAACGTTATTGAAGTTGTACGAACGCTGACTTTAGATAATTCTATAGGTTTCGTATGAATTTTTATAAAGTAACTATCTATATAAGTATATTTAGGATTATTCCTCATCAACATAAATGATCTTTTACACCGCTTTACCCGCTGACATTGATGCTCCTTTCCACTTTGGGTTTGCTAGAAAACTCTTGAGTTAAACTTGCTTTTGTATATTTACTTACCTCTGTCATATTTTTATATACTATCAGTGTGTATAATCTTAGTACAGTCGTAGTAAATTCTACACCTATTTCTGCAACTGTACTTTTTACATACATCTATAAGTAATTTCAAATACTTCAATAAAATCCAGAGAAGGATGCTATAAAAAAAATCTGGTAGTACCTTACTATAATATGAGGATAAAGCAAAAAATACATAGTGCTGCTACCTTTCTTTCATTTTCAAAATATTATAAGAATCTAGTGGGCGTTGCAGATACTATCCTTAATCTATGAGTGGGCGTAAAGTGAAATACCTCAGTCCTCAGATAAGGAAAACTCGTAATAAAATTCTATGCCAAATCGCCTGGCTAATATCCCCATATAATGTCCATTAATGGAACGGTAATTGTTTGGAATGACAGTGATGACGATCGTTCACATAAAAGTTTAACAACATAGTTGCGATTGTAACTCAATTATTGTTGTTATTTTTAACATTGATGAAATAAAACCAACTTTAATCTTAAGAAAATTCTTTAAAACGGAACAAATTTAATTTTTAAATTACTTGCTTAAGAATTGAATATCGAATAGTTATTCAATATAAACGATAAAATTATTAAGTAGATAAATTTCCAACTATTTTTTTTTTATTTCATCCGGAAATCGTCTTCAGTGTGAGTGTTTACGTCGTAGCATCTTATCTCGCACTCACATATAATGTTGAAAATATTGTCAGAAACAAAAACATAGTAAGTTTATTAAATTAACTTTTTTTAGATTATTGCAAAATCAATTTATTATTATTTTTTATTATTGGCACTTGTTCATCCAATCGCCAGGAATTTTTACATACACCTACTATTTGGAACACTCGAACAAAGTCTCCTATAAAAGATAAAAGGTAGTTCTTAATAAATGAACCATAATAAATAACCATAGCCTTAAAACACCTAGCTAATATATACATATGATTTAGAACTTAAAATAATCTCATTTTTAAATCATAAATATAGATCTAGAACTCTGTTCGTACAAGTCCGGTATGCTCTTCCCCAGTTTTATAATATTTTTGTGGTAAATTAACGACGGAAAGATAGAGGACTGAGTTAAATTTCCCGAACAAAAAACAATGTAACAGACACTCAACAATGCGGGGCGACAGGAAACTGCCGTAGCGCGGGTCCCCTTTTTCTTTTAATACCAACTGAATAAATACCTACTTACCGTATGAGGCAGCGACAAAACTTCAGCAAGTTTAGAATAAACAATAAATGCGTTTTTCTTGTTCTTTTTTCACATTATAAAAATGTTTAATAATAAACCTAATTGGTCAATGAGGAATAAAAGACTTAGAAAAAAATAAAATAAAATAAAAAAAAGGTTTGTTTTAAATCCTAATTGATTAGAATATTGATTGATCTATTTTTTCAACGTAAATAATTTCGAAACTGAATATTTAATGTAGTTTCTATTTATATTCGTAAAAAGTATCCAATTAGAAATTTCCGATATTCCTATGGTAACAGGAGATCATGCAAGCGACGATGATTAAAGATAAAAAAATATATTTTGTATTATTAATTCTTTTAAATAAGTAAATTAAATAGTAATTGATATGATTTGATATTAAGAACTGAATCACTACCACACTTCAGACCATCACAGAGCATAAAATTTTGGGTGCCTAACTTACAAAAATAATAGGTATAAAACTGTAGTGACTTATAATATTAAGTCACTGGAGAATACTTCAGAGAAGATTGGGGCCATGTTTCGGTGCTAAGTGCCTTCAAGTCGGCATTTATTTTGAATGGAAATTGAAAAAGTTTATCCCTCTGCGGATATAAAAGTGTTTTAGACGTATTTTTGATCCACGAAATGATTTATCGAGTTTTAAATCATGAACCGTGATTGAAAAAATAATTGCACTTTGTAAAAGTAGTTATTAATGGATAAAGAATTAAATAATATTAAGATTATTAAATAATTTAGATTCAACACAATTGTAACAGTAAGTTGAAATTTATGCCTGTGCAAATAAATATTATATATCTGAATACATGTAAAAAATATCACCTATATATAAATAAAAATTTAGAATAGAACAAAAATTTACTTTTTCTGTAAAAAAAAGAATGTTTATCTTCATATTTACCAATTTCGTGCTGATAATCTCCACACAAAAATGCAGAATGGCTTATTCAAGTACCTACAACAAAGAAAATTGGCAAATTTACAAAATGGTATGCAGATGTATAATTTCGCATTTAAGTGAGATATGCAATCAATCAAACATGTCATGGGGGCGAGGGTTCGTCTGGGTATTCAGGGGTTCAGGCGGGCACAACAGGTAAGCAACAATCAATACTTCGGACGCCCTCGCGCCGCGTACACAGACACACGAATGTTTAGACATGATGCACGGACTCTTTAATTATGTTGCAAGTATTAGACATCTTATTAGTCATCTAAGTAACGTTTTGTCCATACTACTTGTATAAACAAAATAAAACTCTCTTCCACACGCTATGATAATATTATGTCAAATCAGACTCTTAACAATTATACAAATTAATATTTTACATTCGTTATTATACGTTGTGCTTATAAAAAGTATATAGCAATTTTGATGGATTTAAACAAAATAGCCTCTTTCTTTAAAACGTTATTGTTATATAGGTATAGGTAAATATATAATAACTATTAAAAAAAAACTTTAGATTTGGTATCTAAATTGCCTTACATCTATTGAATAACTCCTATTACATTTAAAAGTTTTTATATAATAAAATAGGCAATAACATACGCCAATAGCGGCACCATAATAAAATATAATTGAGTCCATTATCCTGTAGCCTTTTAACGTTGATAACTCTGTCTTTCGTTCGTGCGGTAATCTGACAAAAGAGAACTTAAATTCGAAATAGGGTTGCCATTATCCAAATTGTCAATATCGGATAAAAACTTCAGAGTCTTTTCCTATATAAATAAATATACTCACATTTACCTACATCGCCAAGCATATTAAAATCCAATATGACAGGAGTCAAAAATGTTGTCATCACGAGAGTTAGTCGGAAAATAAAAATGACACGCAGACACCAATTTGTTTTAATTTATTGCTTATCACTCAACTAAAATTCTGAACACTTTTTAAAACTCCTTCCATACAATCCCTGGATGCAAACTAAGACGACAAAAACCCAAAAGAATGGCAGCCCTAATTCGGAGATCTCAGAAAAAATACGTGTATGTACCCAGCAGAGAGGGTTCATAACTCGTAGGGACAAGGGTAACATTTACTTATCGACATGGAAAAGGTACTGTAATACATTCGCTGTTCTCCACGTCACGCCGTAAATAGCAAACTTTTTATTTGTTCTCCATACGTATGTGCGGAGGTAATTTAAATGTTACGGAAACATTTTCGCTAGAAATACTCCATTTACTTGTATCACTCAGAGATGTGCCAGTATACAAATAGATGTGTCATGTTATTATTACATCTATTTGAGGCAGTTTTAGCGCACTTCAAATGACAAAGCTGCTGAGTTTTTATAATTCAAAATATTATGAGGAAAATTGGCAACAACAGATCTGAAGAATAAATATAAAAAATAGATATCAAAAATAAAATAATAATGTAAGTTTGACGTGGGAATATGTCAGCAATTTAAGTTTAACTATTGTTTTTGTCTACACATTCTAGATCATCATTTACTTTACGAACTCTAATTTTTTTGTACCACAAATATGGCAAACATGGATACAGCTTGTCTATTAGTTAACGGCTGTAGCTTATGGATGCTTGCAATTCTAGAAATGTCACGTGTGTGTTGATTACTAATATAGAAAAGTATTCTATGTAGAGGTATATATGAACAATCTGTTATATGTCTCTAGTTACATCCAACTTCGATCAACGGTTTAACAAAAAAATTTTTTTATTTGATTGATAACAGTTTAAAGGATTCTCTAATGAGAAACAATATTACGGAATGCATTTTCGAAAGAAGAGGGATTTTTATTAATTTTACCAAGCTTAACAATTCATATATTTCAGATATATGTATTTACTTCATCTTTTTCCATAAATGTCTCTGATACAGAGCGCAAAGCATTCCTTTTGCGAGTAGTCGTATTCGAATCACGAATGAAAAATGAGGTCAATTGCAGAAAGAGGGGCAGGGAATGGTCATACCGCAGTACTAGTAATAATATTGTTATATAGTTTAGCATTAATTTAACGATATATAAGTGTTATAACATTTTAGGCATTCATAGATTTTCATTGAACTGACGATAACTGTAACTATAATACTATTTAATCCCCCCTTCCTTTTCCGTAGGTGTTGTAAAAGTCAACAAAGAGACGGCGAGGGATGGGCAGAAGCGTCCCTCTTCAAACATCTCTAAAACCGACTGCGGTTGTCAAACCACCTGCCAAGCATGGCAACTACGGGCAAAACTCCCCAGGAGGAGGCTTATGTTCAGCAGTGGACGGTTAAGGGCTGCTATGTAGATGATGATGATGAATATTAAAAATTATGAAAATAAGTTTGTTTAATAAACGCTTTAATTAACTACTATGAAATTAGGTATACACATGCTATATGAAATAGAAAAGAGCATAGGCTACTTTTAATTCTATCAACAATAATATCTCGGTCACGCACGAACAAAGTCGCGGGTAAAAGCTAATAGTAATTTACTGGGTAAATACCCAGTTTATACTGACTTATGACACTAAATGACATCGAAAATCATTCCATTTTATTTGATACAGTAACAAAATCTAACTTCAAATCCAAAGTTTCGAGTGTCCGAAAATTTATTATATTTAATTAATTATAACTCCTTAATTAGACAACCTTTGTCTAATTGAATTTACAAAATAAATTGGTATAGGTATTTGAACCACGCCAACCTCTTTATATTCAAGGATTATTCATGAAACAGTTAATAACAAGGCTAATATCGGTTAATTAGTTTGGTAATTAACTTTGATTGTTGTCTTAAATTATAATTACAAAGAATGCCGAGGCTTTCTTTGGAGTTCTCTCTCTGTTCATTGCCACGATCGATCCAAGCGCTCAAAAAGATTGAGTGACATTTTATTGTTTGGTAGTATATATTTTATTTGTGCAAGAAAAAATTCAATTTGCCACTACAGTGTACAATAACAACATGTAAATCATGACACAAGAAAAGTTTGATAGAGCTTTCGGGGAACAAATATGTCAGTAAGAAGTTACTGCTATTGTCAAAGTTTGCGTGAAACGCCTGAAGTTGTGTAGTTATAAATAGTTAAGAGGCGTTTATATCAGTGGTGTTGTATTGTGAATCGACTTGTTTTCGCTACGTAGACGAGATTTGAGTCGCCTGAGTAGTTGCCGTATTCTGGTCTATTACTGCTATGAACTAACAACTCATGTATGCTAAATGTTTAGATTTGATTCATGTTTCCCTTTTTTTATAATCCTAGAGGGCAATAAATAAATATATTTACTTATTACAATTTTATATTATCATTTTCATATTTATTTAATCTGAACTGAAGAATTTTATTTAAGTGCGCTTGAATCTGTTGTAGATAACACGCAGAAATTATGAAAATAAAAAAAAAATACAAACAAAAGTACTTAAATAATTCTACTAATATTGTAAATATGAAAACGTAAACGACTAAATGAATTTGAATGAAATTTAAGTACACATATAGATTACATTGTAATTTAACAAATAGGAAGAATACTTTATATACAAACTCACGCGGGCAAAGATACGAGAAATAGTTAATTTAAATATATCTTAATATAATATATAAAAATCTGTATCACGATATTTTTTAATGGTAATCTTCGAAATTGTGCTCAACTGATTTTAGAGAAATAGGATAGTTAAAATGGATTTGTTAGGTAGAATGCCAGTAACAACATTCCGGGTTAGTTATTAGTATAGGTATATATGTATGTAGTTAATTATAGGGCAATATCAATAATAACTGTGATGCAAATAAATATATGAGTGACATTGTTGTGTGTATTGAACGTACATACATTGATGACAGAAAGTCATTGGGCACAGCAACGCAGTCGCGGAGGCCCGCCGCCGGCCGGAATTACGGAACAAAGCCATTCAGGCCAATTGTATGTGGCATTGTCGAGCAAATTGTATCTGATAGCCCGCATCTTGTAGTTAAGGCCAGTGAGATTTTATTGTGTCATCTGCTTTCTTAGAGACGTTATATTCTATTATGATACCTAATTATATTTTTAACTCACAAATTATTACTTTAGTTACTATGTTTGTATGTCAATCATAGCGACATATTTCAGCAACTCTAATGCTATCGATATCCAATATGTATAGTTTAATATATTGGTTATAAAAATAGTGTTCCTTTTTTGGAAGAGGTTGCTTAACCCTTTTACTGGTGGTGGCAATATGTGTGCCACCAACATTTTTATGATTTTTTTCCACTTTGTAGTACTAATACCATACTGGTGTTGGCAAGGATATTGCCACCATGTTTCTTTCTTCCACTAAATATAAATATATTTTTTTCTTTAATAAAAGTTATTAAAGTAAAGTACCCACAATAAAAACAAAAAACGAGTTTTTAATTTTCCGAGAGACAAAATTGCTTCTACCAGTTAATAGACAAACTTATTGTATTTTTTCACATTATACTGTTTTTTATATAATATTAGTAAATAAAAACCAACGTATGTATATCTAATTCGCACATATGACAGATTTTTTGTTCTAGGAATATACCGAAATGCTGACAGAGTAAAAGACTACAAGCAGCATATTTTCGAAATATTTACCTGTAAGTTTACACAAAATTTTAATATAAATACTTATCTATTTGTCTTATTTTGATTTAACAGTAAAAATATAACTATTCAATAAAAAATAAATATTATTTGTTGCTCAGATAAATCACTATCTGCTTTATTGCGTCATAGATAAAAAAGTAACGTACCTTGTCGACATGAGATCTATCCTGTAAAGATATTGTGACAAGGAAATATATTATTATTTAATAGAATCAGTTGGTATATCCAATGATATGAGCTCTCTATTATCTATATCATTATTCTGTTTTTATAAGTATATATTTATTTATAGAATAAACACAACATGAAATAGCAATAAATGATTGTTTTGAATTGAATAGAAATTCTGTTTGCACAAATTGTA